CAGTCTGCCTATCAGAGCACACGCTGTCAGACCTGCAGGCCTGAGGGCGGCGTGGTGGGAAGCAGCAGCAGCAGTGATTGGTGGAGCAGCGCGCTGCTCGGTCCAAAGTCAACGTTACCGGAACCCAGTCTGACCTCTGAGCGCCTCTAACACACAGAGGGAACCAGAACCAGGAGTCTGGGAGGAACCAGGAGGACGTCAACAGGCTCCCAGTGTGGACCAGCAGAACAGGGTTCTGACTGGTGGTTCTGGGGCGACTCGCTACGTTACCCAGCGGGTCGCCGTGTGCTGAAGAACACAGCTGTGAGACAGAAGGAAGGTCCAGCTGTGGACGCTGACCAACATCAGAGTGGTGAAGGTCTCACACACACACACACACACACACACACACACACACAGAGTTCATGCTGTAATAAATAAACATCCAGAGCATCTATAAATCCCAGCTGTAGAATATATATGTATGTATATATATTATATATATAGAAGGGTTCTCTAGTGACTGTGAGGAACTAGAACACATGAAGCAGCCGGTCGGATCACGTCCTGGACCGTCAGCACAGCTCCACTCAGACATTCAGCTGCTGGTTCAGCCCGACCCGGTCAGCTCATCGCCCCACACCAGGGAATTATGGGACAGAAGAACCCGTCCCCTGGGCTCCGTCTGCCCTGAGCTGAGCCTGACAGGAGAGCTTCCAGACGCCTGTGATATCAAGTCAAGTGTCAGACAAACTGAGCCGTCTGCTGAAACCATGGAGAGGAGCATCAGCGAATCAGCATGACGGTGATCAGAGGCAGTGTGATGGGTGTTCTTTATCAGTCAATCTGGTCGTTTTCTACTGATTATTAATTCATGTTGTTGTTGAGTTAACGTTGGAACTGATGAGAAAAGCAGCGAATCTGGTTTCAGAGCTGTGATGAGGACTCTGATTGGCTGATTTGAGTGGTCTGGCTGTAAGCACACTCTGACAGCTCTTCAAACAGGCAGGACTGATGCTTCCCCCCTGTGTCTTCCTGCCAGACTCTGCTCAGGGCAAACAAAGGAGCCTCGCCTGTCAGGCTGAGCTGAGGGACGGAGCGCTGCGAGCTGCAGACAGACGGCGGTGGAGGGAGGTGGAGGAGGTGGACGAGGCGTCTCTCCTCCAGCTTCAGGTGGTCAGGCCTCTCCTCTCCAGCTCCCTGCTCTGCTTCAGCTCCTTGATCCTGCAGCCAACACAGCATCGCGTCAGAAACACACCTGAGCTGACGGAGACACACCTGAGGCCGATGCTACCTGTGTCTGCAGCGCCGCAGGAACCTCATGATCTTCCTCGCCGCCTGGTCCTGCTTCTTCGTCAGGAACGAGCCCCTGATGGACACAAACCAGCATGAGAGTCGCAGCAGTGACATCCTGCAGGTCCACTTCAAACAGACAACAGTGTGTTGTGCCCACAGGGGGCAGCACTGAGCCCACAGGTTCTCTCAGCACCGAGGTCCAGAACCCCACAGGGTTTCTATGGTAACTACACAGCTGTGAACAGCATGTTTTGTGTCTGCTTCTCTGCTGAGCTCTGCTGAACTATGCACTCGGTCAGACTGAGAGGCAGCCTCCCGCAGTAATCAGATTACAGCTCCTACTTGATCTTGGGGTTGTGGCTGGCGGCTCCTCGCGGCGCCTGCTTCAGCCTCTCGTACTCCTTGTAGCTGCGGTAGTACTGCTGGATGAGGACGGCCGCCCGCCGGCTCTGCTGGAAACGCTTCTGCTCGTAGTAGGACCTGAACTTGGACTGGATGAGGATGGCGGCCTGGGTCATCTTCTTGTAGAGAGCGTACTGAGGAGAACAGGGTCAGAGTCACACAGAGCAGCCACTGGAGCGTCCAGAGCTGAGGCCTGGTTACACATCAGGTCATGGTTCAGACGACTGACCACACTGAGGCTCATGGAACAGGAAGCATGTCTATGACTCAGGGTCAGGTTGGGAGCAGAGAGCCAATCAGCTGCTGACAGCAAACCAGAGGACTGGGCTTCTGGGACGAAACAGCCTTACTGACATCAATGGACAATAATAATAATNTAACTGTAGAACTAGCCTGTTTAGCTCACAGACCAGTGTTGACAGCATCTCTGGATGGAAACGCAGCATTGACGCTGTTAGCTTTAGCACGGATGCTAACGGTCAGTCTGCAGATCAGCAGCAGGTTAAACATGTTGTTCGTGTATCAGTGAGTGTTTGTTGCTACGCTGGTGAACACATGAAGGAATTCAGTCAGATCGACTCAACAGCTGACATGAAACACTTTCATGTTTAGAACCATTTACCAGAAAATAAAACTTTATTGATTCTGAAACTAATTATTTCTGTATTTTACAGTTTGTGTTAAATTATAGACAACATCCTGTAAAATCACAGAAAAATCATTCATCAACAAGTTTACTGGTCGCTAACTGGTCGGCTAACTGGTCAGCTAACTGGTCGCTAACTGGTCTGCTAACTGGTCGCTAACTGGTCTGCTAACTGGT